TGTGCATTTAATTAATTCACGGATATGCTAACCATACTCCCTAACCCTGAAAACATGGCTTTGGGTACTTTTTTGTCATAAAAGAATGCTTAAAAACACTGTGGAAATCATTCTTTTTTGTAGTGGCAGCCACTAATTTGCATATTTAACTTAATTATATGCATAATAATTAATCCACAAATATGCTAATGATATTCTCTACCCCTGAAATCATAGGTAGCACATTTTACTTGAAAATGAATGCATGCAGAGTTATTGCAAGTAATCGATTTTTCTTTATTGGCGGAAGCCAATTTGCATATTTTACATGGCTATATTGGCCTCCTGTGTGCGTATAAATAATTCATACATATTTAATATATGCATATTTAACATAATTATATTCATATAATTAATTCACAAATAAGCTAATAATATTCTCTAACCATGAAAACATAGGTATGAAAACGTTACTGATGATTTAATATTTAGATGCAGAGTTATTGCGAATAATCGATTCTCCTTTATTGGCAGAAGCTAATTTGCATATTTATGCAAATTATGCGACTTCTGCTTTGAAATTTGTGCCCCATTTTGGATATGTCATTCAGCACAACCTTATAAACTAGAATCAGCCATAAAACAAAAAAATGCAATTTTTTTGACTCAAAGCTCTAAATCTGCTCATCTGGAAATCTTGAGCGTTGCGTTGCGTTGCAGGGTCAGGAAACCACTTGAGTACACAAGTTTTTCAAACGGGGTATAATCTTTTTATTACGAGTAATATCGCAAGCTGTCAGTAAGATTTTCACCTGGTAGAAAATGGTTTAGCCTTACATGTTTTTTATGGGATTCCCAAGCCGAAATTAGGCATAAAAACGTGTTTCGCTTTAAATTCACGTAAATAAATGATTTAGCTTTAGTTTAATACAAAATTTAATCTACTTTGATCATAGACAACGTTTTTTGGCGGCATGGGTCTTAGCACGTGATGGTTTCCTTTCAACGGATAGGAGAGCACTTAATCGCTATCCTGGATGTTAGTCCAGGAAGGCGATCGCGCTTCTTAAACTGGTGGTGGACTGCGACTGCATCGGAAGTACCTACAAAATCGGATTTTTTAACGTTATATTTGTTCGATTCGGAAAATCACTGTAATACCGTAAAACCTCGAATTGAAGCCCAATGGAATTAATCTCGAGAAGAAGCCCCTCTCGAATTGAAGCCCCCTCTTTGGTTTGCGATAGCCTCGAAAAGAAACCCATCGGCTTCGTTTCAAGATAGCATAGGCTTCTTTTCGAGATAATACAGGACATATAACTGTACATAAATTTTAAAGAAACAAAATAAATTAAACATACGCTTGGTTTCTACAATACTTTAGGTAATTGAATAATTGTTAATACACCATGATACAGGTTAATGTTACAGTGGCCCTATTTGTTGCTTTATAGTATTATTTAACAAAATTTACAGCATTCCTTTTGAAAAGAATCCCCCTTCTATACTTTACGAGAGTAGCCTCGAAAAGAAGCCCATCTTTTCGAGGCTATTGGCTTCAATTCGAGGTTTTACGGCATTACGATAGTCTCACCTATGCACGGTACTCAACGACGTTCCAGTACCCAGCCGACTTTTTTTTAGCATCGACCTTAGTTTACCTCCTGTCAGTTCTTGCACGCACAGCCGGCGTACACAGATTTTTCCTGTGGTTAGGTATAGATCAATGGGAACATTGTAGAACTGCCTGCAATGCCATGGACACTTCGGTAGTTATCTTGGTATAACGTTTTAAATAAAATTTACTGTACATATTGTTTTTATATGTACACGGATAAGTTCTATTATTTGGAAAAGAGGGGGTTTTCTCCTATCTATAAAAGTAGTCGATTCACGTCGTTAGTCTTTATTGATCACTTGCAGCACCTTAGTTTATGATGACATTGGTTTGGTTTTGACTTAAGGTTTACAGATGCACAACTAGTCGTTTCTCCTGTAAATTTCATTCTGAAATTGCTTTTATAAGTAAGCTTAAGTATAAGAATTGGATCTTTGACAAGTGCATTTCCGCAATCAATAGATGTAAAGAATCTCTAGAATGAATCAATAGATAATCTTGTCAGGACGACTAGAATTATTTTTATCACCTGAGCGGGATCAAACGGTTCCCAAACAGTTGGTTATCTAATACGAAACGGATCAGTGACGTTTGGGGCAAAGATTCGATTGAAACGGTCGAACATGAATTGCATGATTTTCATATGACAATTTAAAGAGAAGATGTACACTAACATGAGTGAGATAGGAGTTCAATTTTCTTAAGGTAGATCGTAAAGAGTGAGATATTGACGGTAGCCTTTAGCAATTACAATTAACTTTTATTTATGACAACAGCTTAGAATACTATCGGAGGCCTACTGATAACTGCAGATGTAATTTAAGAGTTTTCTTTCATTGCACATTTAAAATGTTTGACAGCTCAACGGTCATCCAATGTCTATATTTTGGTGTTCAGATACAATGCAAAAAAGGTAATGTGTTGACCGGTATTGCTGCACCTTACCTACACAGGGGCTTCATCGATTAAGACACGTGAGGCGATATGTACAGTATAGGGCCGAATAATTATATACAGGCCTATGTGATTACCGTACTTATTTAAATAAACAACCCGATTCAAATAAAGCTCCCTCCCTCTTTTTTTCTCGAATAAACACCCCTCAATGACTAAATACATGTAATGTAAGCAACACCGTTCTCATCACATTCTATTAATGTTATACTCCAGTGAGAATTACATTTTTTTTAACCTGGATGGGATCACGTAATAACACATCTTTTTTTTTTTTGTCTTTCGTTGGTGTTTCACACCTGTATTGTCATTCCATGTAAATATACCAATAATACGTTCTCCAATGTAATACACAATTCTTATTTATATACATGCACAGTATCTTACAAGTTTTACATAGTACTCATGCTTATATACAATATAATTAAAAGGACTGATAAAATTAATTAGATCAATTCTATCAAGGATTTGATTTTAATCATTGCTTTCACTGGAATATATAATTTTTTTTTATCCTTTCCCTCTGTAACATAAAAATCTTTTTTGAAGTCTTGTTTTTTCAAAGTCTCTTCCACTTACTTCTTAAATATATATTTATATATATATGTATACATATATATATATATATATATACACACACCTACACACACACACACTCATCCCCCCCCCACATACACATATATACACACACATACATATATATATATATATATATATATATATATATATATATTCATTTTATATGTACATAATTTCTTTCAATTACCATATCCTATTTAATTTACCTTAGTATTTTTTCTAGAAAAGAAAACATTTGTACTACGAATACAAAATCCTTACACCAAAATAGTGAACGCCTCTCTCTCGAATAAACGTCTCCATCGAATAAACGTCCCCTCAAAAAACCCTTCTTAACAATGAACGGCCGGGGTGTGTATTACAACGGTATATCAAATCATATCATATCATACCACATGTTTACGTTATATTCCAAGACATTAATAGACCTTTTATACATTGATGATGTATGCGTGGGTATGCACATTATTCATGCCTGATTTGGTGAGCATGTTTTATTGCCCTATTAATACTAGTTATCATCCATAATAAACATTGGTACAATGGAATAATATTAGACTTTTAAATTACTGTATATTAGTATACGAATTTCAATATTTTGTTTATTTATTCAATTTCTTACAAGCGATACATTCGCCGAATAGAAGAAGTAATAGGGAGGTTTCGCAAGCCTAACGATAACGATAACGAATACGGTTACGTTATCATTTGTAGTCAATCCATCACATATATAGTAGCTTACCCGTCGCAAAGTAGGCGATCCGTGACTTTTAAATGAATCAACGATTATATACAGCTGTTATATGTATTGTTAATTATGTTTGAGGCGAGAATGACGATAATGAAGATGAAGTAGGCCTATTCGTTATCGTTTTTCGTAAGGTTGCGAAATCTATTACAGTATATGTACCGTAACCAAGGTATCCTAAATATTGCAAAATGTCGTGTAATATGTTGTTCGGCCTGATGACGAACACGTCTTGTACATGAACTCCTGGAATCACTGCAAGAAGAAGACTTTAACATTGTAAATGGAGGTTACCTGAGAACTCAACCACATTTCCAATAGGCCTACATGTTTAAACGAATCCTTGAATTTGTTCGTTGCCACACTTTGTGTTCTAAATAGGCTAAGACACACATTTATTTTAAAACACCAAGTAAAACCATAACCAAATTCGATTATGAATAATATTTACTTTCTTTGTACTTAGAAATTACATTACATAGGTCAAAAGGTAAAGATAGGAGAGTAACCCATAACTTGCAGCGTCATTGTGCTGAATTGCGTATGGTCGTGGTCCATGACTACCTAGCCGCCTTAAAGAAGAGGCACTTATAGTAAGTAGCTAAATAGTCACATCATTCCACAACGACAGGGAAATGAACCATAACATCGGGGTAGCCTTACTCTTCCGAAAGATGCAGTGGGTTCTTAAATGTGCACACGTGCCAGATATAATACACAGGACCTCCATTTTAAGTCCTTATCCGAGAAGACTTGTTCTACCAACAAAACCATGGGCGAGGAGCGGCTGCAACCAGCGCCGATGTTAAGGCTGTAGTCGCGGCGTCTCTGCCTTACTGCTCGGCCACTCGACTAGTAGAAATTACATTACAATGCAATTACATTAAATTTCTGATAGTTGTAGGCCTAGTCGGCATGTTATGATGGATTGGATCGGATTTAACGCACAAAAATACAAGGGAACCTAAGAAATAAATAGAATTAATCAAAATGCACTATGATAAGGGAACAGCTAAACCGACCAATGATAACAATCTCAGAAAGGGGTTGAAGGCGCAAACAGGTTCTGTTAGTCGAATCATTATTCACCATTATAGTCGTTCATTCGGTGACCAACTTAAGTGGGAGGCACGTTACGCTTGGCACTCCAGTATGCTGCTTTGCCGAGACTTCTCTTAGCCTCTTCGCAACTAGCACGGAGCAGTTCAAAATGAAGATCGCAGGATTTCTCAATTCTTTCATGATTATATGTGTTGTTTTTCTTATCAAAGGTAAGAAACGTACATAATTTCGTTTCCGTGTGGTCACGTGGTGGTACAATTATTGATGCTGTGGTACTCGGTTTTGATTCAGGAGGTCAGTCAGTCGTACATTATGTGGAAACGCTGAGGTTTGGTAACATTACTTACCCCAGTGGAACATATTTTCCCTCCATTATTGTCGAGCTCTTTGGTGTAGGATGGCGAAGTACCGCTTAGTAACACACAAATCAAACTTATATTGGCAGTTTATCAGAGTTATAAACGCTTTAATTTAATCATATCAAGTAACATATTCAGCCAACAATTTACGTTACAATAACGTCAATAAATAGTATCTATAACGTAATACAACTAAATAACGCTGAACTTTGCTTCAGCGTTGTTAAGGATATTTTCCGACATTAACCCATGTTTGTAATAATGTAATTTGCGAATGTAATTATAACGTTTTTGTATTTCCTGAATAGTTATGGGCTCACCCTAAATATTAGGCCTGTATGGGGCTGATACATCACATTTTGAGAAACGAGAGTTATTGATATCAAACTTATCTGATGTAGGCCTTAATAAAGTTTCATCATTGAATTTAAGCAGTGGCTAAGAATCCGGTCACGTACGCTATCTCGGTAATGGTGAGTGTCCCTAACTGTTGCCAATCCGAACCTTCTTTATCATTACCGAGATAGCGTACGGTACCGTACCTCTAGACACATTGTTAAATTTGCTGCTCATGTTCAGTTAGGAATCAATCATTTTCTACGATTTTTTAATGATTTTTAATATGATAATTAATTTTACTGTCTGATTAATGGTTTAGTCAATTTCCAGTCTTAAAGGAAACATATAGCCTTTCAACAGTTAACAACACATCTATATGGTTTGGTTTCTCGTGTGTTAGCATTATAATCACTAGAGATTGAATATCCTTATCGACCTTCCTATAAACATGCATACACGTGTCCCTATATCCATATAATAATACAAAATTGCGTTATATTCTCGCAAACGCGTGTAAAATATCAATTCAGCAGAAGCTGTATTAATTTTAAATTTAATGATTAGCAAATACTATGATATGAACATGTCCATAACTGAAAAAGAAACTTTTATGTTGAAGAGCTATGACGATTATAACACGATGTTCCTATCTAAGCACTGTTTATATAGGCCTATATAAATATTCTTACTATGATTTTCCAGCTGCGACCTACAACCTTTTCTAAATAAATAAAACATAATAATTAAAAATGTTTATAGTGCAAATTATAAAACAATGTTTTAGCTTAACCACAGCTCCATTATGTGTGAGCGTTCCAGTCTTTGTATGAGGGGGGGGGGGGTTATAACTGCACGTATATCTTATTTTTTCAGAATCCGACGAATATGAATAATGGATGTAGGCTTAATCTTCATTCTCCATAGAAACACATGTAATAAATGCATTATTCTATTAATAAACAGGTATAACCACCTCAGGTGTCGTGCATTTACGTCTTCCACTTAACAGTGCTACCAAATTAGAAATTAATGTAATAAATATTTTCGTTTCATTTCTATATAGTAGACGCTTTCTCATTCTTTCGTGGGGGTTGTGGTGTTAAATTATAATTTTACTAGTGAGTTGATAGAATTTTTTTTTTTACCATTACAAATATTTATTGTGAGATTTATATCGGGTTGTAAGTGATACGAATTCAAAATAATGTGATCTCGATTCTTGGCTAAAACTTCGTTCATACCGAATCGGAATTTTCGGATCTGAAGGCCTACCCAACCGATCAGAAAATCAAATCGGTGAGTGTGTGTGTAAGAATACGGTCCGAATTTCGGACCGGATCCGATATGATTGCAGCTTATTAATTCGTACGACAAAACATTATTTTAGTGTTGATGCTGTATTGGCGCAGTAGCAGGTAATCTTCCAAGTATTATAACAATAAACAATATTGCGGGCCCATTTTTGGTTATAAGCTTCTATATAATTACTCAGGTCTCGGGTGAGACCCAGTTATTGATTACTGTATTTATTAATTTAATTATTACATTAATTATTAATTTAATTATTACATTGATATTTGCTGAAGCTTAGTCTTACAGTATGAGATTTATAAACAAAACTCTATAGTGAATCCTGTTAATTATAAAGGTGTGAAGAGTAGCAATGAAATTATACCTTATTATCAATGTATTATAAGGTCAGGCGCTGGGGAATACAAGTTTGTCCATTAAGATTTATGGCAAACCTGTTACTTATAATAACGTCCTCATCATCGTCGTCATTATTATCACCACCACCACCACCACTCATCGTCTTTTTCATCCTCATCATCATCATCATTATCATCATCATCATCATCTATGATATCTCTCTAGATGATGATGATACAAGTTCGTCAATTAAAATTTATAGCAAACCAATTATAATCGTATATTTTCCGCATCATCATTTCCATCATCGTCGTCATCATTATTACCCCACCACCAATCAGCGTCCTCTTCATCTCCGTAGTTATCATCATCATCGTCGTCGTCATCTATGTTATCGCCATTGAACTAGTATGTCGTACTTTGGTGAGTGTGTTCTGAAAATAGTAACGAAGATCAGTTTTAATAGTCTCAATTTACGTGAACGATAGGTTGTAAAAAACAATTCCGCTGGGGGATTTGTTCGCTCTAAACTGAGCTGATATTTAAGTCGTACAACTTCAGCGTCGAATTGGTTGATCGTTTTAACCAATCAAACACAATTAACAACAATGCAGCAATTTATGGGGAGATTGGATACCGTGCAGTTTGCTATTTAAAGTTGAAAAAACCCCAGTTTGTTTATACGCAATTGCATAATATCGCAATAGTTTCATATATGTGCGTGACATATCCTATTTACATTTTACAAATGACATTTGTTTTTTTATAGATAAGAATAGCTAAATACTTTATTAAAACTGTAAGTGCAATATTTGAAATGCAAAATAAGTCAATCCTATCGATTACATCACTGTTGTTTATATTATTATTATTAAATTTAATCTTAAAGGAGTTTTTAATGTTATTTTAATTTATGGTTATTAAATCATGGCTATTTGTATGGAAGTATGTCAAATGATCATATTGCTCATTAATTTCATTATCATTGCATTCTTCTTAATAAACGTGCTTTCGTAGAGTGGTTTTTGTTATTTTTTCATTAACTTAAGGAGGTCGGTCTAAACAAATATACCCTAAATATGTCATTGTCCTCTTAATACTACTTGCTTCTCTCTCCTCCTCTCGATCTCTGTTCTTCCTCAAAAAATGGTTCTATATTTCCTGTATATTAATCATGTGTATACCGAAATGAATATAATTTACGGATGTCCTTTTGGAAAACGCTTACCCTGTACCGTTCGTTCAGATTGTTATTTTATCTCTACTCATTATAATTGTTAGGCCTACTAGTTGATTAATGGGTAGAGTGTGCCGAGAGGGGAAACAGCCGAGACAAGTGCCCATATAGGAGGCCGGATCGCTCTAGTGTGAAACAATAGATACAATAAAAGGAGTGATGAAAAATGTCATCCCTTTTGGAAGAATTATCTTTTAGATTATCTTCTAATAAGGCCTAATTAAAAGGTATACATTTCAGAGATTCATCATTACCACCTGTATGCTCCTGACGTGTGTGATAATATGAGGTCCGGGGTTCGAAACTCTTGCTGTACAAACCACTTGTGTCTTTGGGCTACGGTTTTCTCTGAAGTACAAGTGGATACCTGGTACAGTAGGTTCGAACACAACTGCGCTGAGTACTAGCAGCAATACTATGGAATTCTCCCCCAGGGAGCTGAGTATGTGTTCCATACGTGTTTGATTCAATGACCGGGGTAGTAATGTGAAGAGGCTTTATGCACGAAGCGCTATATAAGACCGACATATTACTATTATTATCTAACTACCAATAATTCATAAATCAATATATACTAAGTACAATTGATATTAGGCTTGTGTTGTTACCGTAACTCCCGGGACAATCATCACACCAAGAAAGTATAGGAATGTATAGAACGTAATAATAATAAACCAAGTCCACTGCGATATGAAAGTATAATACATACTCCAAGTATTGAAATGCACGCCATCGTGTTGGATTCAATATTTCGACATTAATTATGTCATAGTATCAGGAAAGGCCACTGCGACTTTTGAAAATTACAATCTGTGCGGCTAAATCTATTGACCTTAATTTATTTAATCTTACATATGATATTGCTTTTCCTTAAAAATAATGAAAGTACCGTCTACCTATTACCGTTGTAGATATTAAATATCTAAATTTTAAATTTACCGAAAATCACTTTCGATTTACATGATAAGAAAAAAAAAATGTCATGTAAATTATATTTAGACTGCGAATCAAAATCGCGACCTTGCCTTGCACGCTTAGACCGACGATCATTGGAAATATTAAATTTTTACGAAATTTACTATAATAATTTAACTTGCTCTGAATGATAACCTAAAAGTGGTTGATACATTGCTATTTCATCTGAATACGAGAATTATAATATGCCGGTATGTTTTCATCTAAAGATAAGAGATTATTTCCAAACTTCCATCTAACTCAAAAAGCATAGCGTTTCTTCAGGTTCATTATATTCCTGTTGTAAACCAGAGTCCAGTAATATCAGAAATATACATAAGCCAAATCAAACCCGTATTTATTCGAATAAACGCACCGCTTTGAATAAACGCCCCATAATAAACGCCCCCTGTATAGCCGCATTTAGAATTATATCCTCAAATAAACGCTCCGATGCGTTTATTTATTTCCTCCAATAAACGCCCCCTAAATGACTGTAAACAAATTTAATGAAATGAACTTAATTCTCAACAAATAAGATAGGTATCGGAGCGGAACATTTTTCTGCTTGCATTTAAATGATATTTGTACCTAACAACATGCATTGTCTTTTTTTCTTTGCAGGAGCACTTAGCACAGAGGCTCATTATGATCTGTTTGAATTACTTTTCAGTAATTATAAAACACACATAAGACCGGTCTATGATAAGGACACATCCACCAACGTAACAATGAAATTATTCTTATCTCAAGTAATCCATTTAGTAAGTAACCCTGTATTTGCTGATTTAGGGCTGATTTGCACTGAAGAATGTGTTAAAAGCCGGGCACTCACTCACTGCGCGCCCGACGGTCGTAGACCGACGCGATTCTATGAGATGACGATCCGTGCATACTACTGGCACCGACATTCAGCAGACGGCGTCGCGTCGTTCAGCGTACAAAGAGCGGGGTTGGATCCGTCGCACGACCCCTCACGACCATCACGCATTGCGTGCCCGGCTTTAACGGAAAGTGGTAACGGTTAAAAAAATTAACTTATATACTACCATGCTGAACATGACGCAAAATAGGAGACTGCTATGTGGTAGTGGAAATATATGCCTCGGGCGGAACATTTTCACACTGCTTGCATTAAAATAACATTGTTTGTACCTAACAACATGCATTATGTCGAACAATTAAATTGAACGAATTCTGAATGTTGCCTTAATATGATAATACTGTATGTACCTTATATGACTCAAGGGAATCATGAGAGATTAAGTGTTCACAGATGTCCAATAATTTCTGAATTACCATTCTGAGTAGATTTCTCAGGTTTAAGTGAATTACGTCATCAGTAAGCGCAAAAGCGCAAAATCAATTGATTGATTTTTGCACCGACACATAATAGGAATCTCCGTAGTTTTATAATTTTTCTCACTTGCCTTTTTCTGATACAACAAAACTAAGGCTTCTATTACATATACTAAATATTTTTTGATATTGCTTTCGTTAGAGGCATATATATAAGTGTTTCTCCGTTGCCATCTTCCGACGTATGCGGCCGTAGGCCTATTCATTTTTTCCATGCTACACCCTTCGATTGGAATACTGTACTGTATAACCGAGGCAAGATTTGGCATGATCAGTGACCGAGGCATATCTCCCATTTCGTTGTTTTGTCAATTCAACAGCTGTAAATTATAGAACAATATTTAGGCTAAACCATGAAGGCATAAATAATTCATTTGAAAAACCTTAGAAGCAATCACAGTTATATATATAGCGATTACTTCATAGGTTTGTAGTTTTCTTCTTCGTCCTTTTCCCGGCAAATGTTTTATTCAATAGACGAGCCAAAATGTGCCTAGCCTAACCCACATTGTCGGTTTCATTGCCGTGTCTCCACCCATCATAGGGGAGTTTTCGCAAGCTTACGAAAACGATTATGAATACGGTTACGTCATCAAATTTCTGGACAACCCTTCCCCTCAGTAGAATATATGTCACAACGTAGAAGATTAATGCATTTTGTATAAATGAAGGACCACATTCAGCGCGTACAACATAATTGTCAATTATGTTTTAGGCACGAGTGACGACAGTGATAATGACGTATTCGTATTTGTTATCGTTTTCGTAAGGTTGTGAGATCTCCCTATTAGCAAAATTATACCAATATTGTATAGGTCTGTGTTTAGGTACACATGTTTCCCTTGAAGCAAATTTTAATAAGGGCTTCAGCAAAGCTTCTCATATAGAACTAATCGATGCTCTACATCTTTTGATTTTTAGGCCTATATTCAAAATGTTGTTTCTAAAAATACCTTTATATGAACCTAGTGTCTTTGATCAAGGAAGGAGAACCACTTAACCTAAGACATTACTCATTCTCCATATGGTATAATTTGAGAACACTCATAATTGATCCGTTAGCGGTACTCATATCCAATCGGCCTTTAGATTTGTAAACTCCAGTCTTCAATATTACTCACAGAAATATAACACCGATGATGAGTTTCAAATTATGAATTTCCTCAACTAAGAGAATTCGATTCGATTATCTGTTCCTGCAAACACGATTTTGACATTAAGGACCTGCTTTATTGCATCTTCATTCAAAAACTATGTTGAACAAGTAATTTTGACTTATCTTAAATTTCATTTTTTAAGTGAAGAAATTAGAGTATTCTCGTTTTGGTTTTTCACATTAAATATTATACCTGTACACCTACATCATGGAATTTCGCAGGTACGTAAAGTTAACATCATCATACTATAGAAGTGCTCTACGAAAGATATCTTTAATGGTTTAAAATATTGAACAAAAGTGACCTATTCTGAGAATTAAAGATAAAAATGACAACAAAAATCATAAAAAATAAATTTGAAATTAGCTCATTTTGCAGTGACATACACATGATTAACTTAAGCATACAATTATTGAATATAAAAAAAAAATGTGCTGTTGTTCAATAATGCAGGTTCCATGAACATTTAATCCTAAGTTAGTAACAATAGCCAATGAGATCTATCTCGTATCTACGCCGTTCTATCGAGATCTTCCCCGTTTTTCAAATACAAATAACCGATATCACATGAGTAGCCCCCAACATGCCAAAGAACTAGTATATTTAGAATAACGTGTACGGTATAACTAAGTGGTGGACTTTAGTATATAGACAGTAGTGTTTGAATAATTTAGTGAATAAACTTAAATCGTACAGTATCCTTGTGTTGTGTATAAACGATAAAAATGACAAAAAGTCATAAAAATAAACTTAGAATTAACTTGCTCATTTTGCAGTAACATACACATTATTAA